TGTGGGTTTTGTGAGGGTGTTGTGAAGGGGGTGTGTGGGGGGGCTGTAGGTAGGTGTGGGCCTGCCATCACACATCCATCCCCTACATGGTGTATTGCCCCTGCCACTGGTGGTTCAGAAGTAGCAGGCAGCAGGCCCTTGGGAAGCTCATGGCAGTGGCAGGCAAAGCCCCCAGTGTCACACCTCTGGTGGAGTCACAGAGCCAGCCCAGCCCTTTAAGGCCGCTTCTGTGCCTCCATGTGGGACTTCCAGCACTCCAGTACAAAGCTGCATGTGAAGGCAATCAGGAGCCTGTCCAGCCTAATGGTTTATGACTCTATGCCTCCATCTGCAGCTTCCTGCCCAGTTTGATGATGCATGGCTCCAGGTCCACACACAATTGACCTGGGCCAGCCTTCCATGTGGGGCTTCCAGCACTCCAGTAGGAAGCTGCACATGGAGGCATGAAGTCTCGTGCCATTGGGCCGGGTGGGCTCTGTGCCTCCACAGGTGGCTTCCTGCTGGAATGCTGGAAGCTCTATGTGGAGACACGGAGCAAGCCAGCCTGGCCCAATGGCATGTGGCACACACCCACCCACATATACCCTCATGCCCACCCTTCCTCCTGCAGGCTAGAGCTCCCCTCCCCACTTACCCAGGTGTCCAGTCGCATAGCTCTGTGCCTCCACGTCATGGAGGGGGAGGCACAGAGCCTGCTATGGTTAAATTATGCAAAACTATGTGTGGTCATGCCTGTTATGTACAAAATTGCATGGGCACATAATTGCATAATTCCCCAGGATGTAATTAGTTCATCCTGAACCATGAAGCAAAGATGCTCTCCACACTTAGGCTGACAGTGGTGTATTTTCCAGGTATAAGGCTAAGTCTTATTCCCTGAGCCAAGAGTAAGTACTTGGTGCCTCATGCAGCGTGACCCACAGGGGTTGGAAAAATAATCCTTCCCCCAAGCAGAGATGACAGACTTAAGGCAATGGTAGCCCACAGATGTTGGGAGAGTCATGGGGAATTGGCCAATGGATGTACATAGTTATGGACTGCTAGCCTCAACCATTTCTTTATGCTATCCCTCCTCACTTCCAACAGTGCAGAGATAGTCCCGGGGAGGTGGGGGGTGGGAAACACAGTTGCCTGGGGCACAAGGGTTGCCAGTGTCTTATCTGATCTCCTGAGATCCTGCTTCCCCATCAACTCTGTGTGGACAGATTCTGATACCTTGAAGACTATCTATTCCCATAAGGAAAAGGCAGAATTTTCCCTACTGTCACAGATAAATCCCTGGTAGGATTCTGCTCATGTGAGCAAATAACATGATACTCAACGTTTGTAGTCCAAACCACTCACAGAAGAGTAAGTATTATATTTGATTAAATTATTATACATCGTGTCAAAACTATTTGTTTTGCATGGGCAACTCCCCTAAGACAAAAAGTGCCTCTGAGAGGAGGCTGTATTCTATTACTGTATTGACTAACCAGAGATTAAATATTTAGATGCTAAAGCTCTTTGGAGTATATACTGTCTTTTTGCTCTGTTCTTGTACAGTGCCAAGCACTGTGGGATCCTGGCTCATGACCAGGGTTTATAGACAGCAGTGCAATAACACCATTGCCACCACTGTGTCCCCATAGCAATGTACAATGCCAGCAATTTGAAAACTGACATAAAAACAGTGCAAAAACAAATAGGATGGATCTGAGCTCCTCTGAAGTGAGTGGGAGTTTTGTTGTTGATTTCAAGATTTCATCCACAATCTATTCTTCTGATTCATTATTTGCAATGCTGGCAAGTAGAGCCTATTGGAAAGAGAAAGTTATTATACAAAACCAATTACTACCTTCGATGGCAAATGGTTTCCCCACAGTCAAAAGTTTGCAGTCAGCATCTATTGACACTTCATAATCTAGGAGCGCTTTATCCATGATGAAGGCATCAAGTTTCTCTGGATCATTCCTGTGTTCAAGATCAAAGCAAGAAACACAAAATTATTTAATACCATTGTAACAGGGGGGCTACCAGGGCCCATCCCCGCGACGCCTGCCCACCTGTTCTTGGGCTAATCGCCCGCCTTCTCTCCTGCCATGTCTTGGTCTTAATTGATTAATTAATAGAGGTAATTAGGCAGGAGGCTGCCCATTTTCTGCCCTGCTGCTAGGAGGCACTATGTGCAGCTCCATTCCTCCCGTACACTGCAGCTCAAGCCTCACTGATGACATCATGATGTTCTCATTTGCGCCAGTCCCCCACGATGGGACCCAGAATCCTACTGTAGGACCCTACCTGGGTTCCTCCCTTCAGGTGGACTCTGCCACCATCATACCACGCCATATATTACCCTGACATTGGTTCCCCTTCGGGTGTGGTCCCCTCACTGGGACCTTCAGCTCACACTAGCCCTGGCCCACCTCCAAGCCAGTCGGGGCCCCTGGCTCTTGGGCATCCCTTTCAAGGGCCTCCTTGCCCTTCTGACCCTCCTGGTCCTGGCCCCTGCCTGGGCCAGTCGGGGAAGCTCTGGCAGGCCCTGATGTATGACCCATACTTTTATCCTGGGGTCCCCCTCTCTGGGTCCTCCTTTACGGACATGGGGAGCTGGGGTACCTCACACCATAACTGGTGCCTCAGGGTCTCACAGGGGACTCACACTCCTCTCCTGGGCAGCAGGTCGTGGTGCTATGACTGGTGTCATCTTTGACCCATACTCTGCCTCCCAACAGTGGAGGACTTATTGGGGTCAGGGCTCAGCTCTCGGTCTCTCTGGCTGAGCCCCCTCTCCCTTCACAGGGCTCCACATCACCCTCTCTCTGGGGCTTCTGATCACTGCCCCTTCTCACTGTGGTTCCACAGCACTGGCCTCTTCTCAACTGGGGCTCCTCAGCAGGGCCCCCTCTCAACTGGGGCTCAGATGTTATGTTTGGCCCAAACTCTGCCTCCCAGCATTGGAGGACTTACTGGGATCGGGACTCAGCTCTCTCGCCCTCTGGCTGAGCCCCCCCCTCACACTGGGGGCTCCCCAGCGCTCATAACACCCCCTTTACTCGGGGTCTCAGGGCCTCCCTCCACAGGTGGGCTCAGGTGGCCACAGCCATGCCTGGCCCCAACTCTCCTCCTCAGGGCCTGAAACCCCCACAACTACCTCCAGTGTACTGCAACCCACCCTAAGGTGAGGGCTAGGGGTTAAAGCGCCCCAACCCACCTTTCACCAGGGTGATCATTGGCCTGGCATTTCCTGGGGACTCCCGCACCACTGGGAGCCCCACCAGGCCATCCACTCCCAGCAGGGTGTAGTTTCTGGTTGTACCCAGGACCAGGAGCCTCCTACCATCCCCTATAGCTCCTCCCTTACCTCTGGATGAAACTCAGTAGCCCTCAGGCCAGGCAATGTTATTGCCTCTCCTCCAGCAGCAAAACTGCCTTGCTTATATGGGCAGCCCTGAACCTAAAATGGCTGCCCTCATTAGGCACCTGCAGGCTGCCAGCTCCAGGGCCTTAAAGTGGCAGGCACACATAGTGCCCTGCCACAACCATGAACTGCTCCTCGGTACAATATCTATCTGACTTCGTTCTTAGGAAGTGTTTGATGTGAACACAATTCAAAACCAAATGCAAACCTAATTTATAAGAAGGGTAAAAGACAGGACTCGGAGGCTATTGGTGTAAACAGAAAATTGATTTAAATATCAAGGGCAAAAGGGTTCATGTTCCTGGCAGCATTTTGGGGTGGAGATGGCAGAATAAAACTATATGTGCACGTAGAGAGGCAGTTCTAGCTGACTTGCTATCTGCTTTCAGACCTGTTTTGTTCCTGTGACAGTTCATTGGCTCAGAGGAAGGAGAATGCAATAGACTAAGAATCAAATCCAGCTGTTCTTATAGTGTCAAAGCACAGGGGCAGAGGAGATCAAAATCTCTAATGTGCTGGCCTAAGCATTATTTTCCTGTGCTTTTCCTAGAGTCAGTCTGCACTATGGTCAAAATGAAGGCTGGGCATATTCTACAAAAGCTTTTACATGAATACAGGTTTCAGTTCTTGAATGAATAGCCGTTATTCAGACTTGCTTTGCTTTTGCATTCACTCCCCATGAACACTTGGGTCATTGAAGGTTACCAGTGTAAATGTACAAGGCCCTCTCTACACAAACCCCACACACACATCCCCAACCCCGACACACGCCCACAGCCCCCCACACCCTTCCATACCCCCCCATAATATACAAGAGTAAAATTTCATTTAGAGCTATTATGTAATCACCTCTATATACATCACACACACACATCAGGACAAAAAATATTTTTTGAAATAAAATTAAAATATGTTATTGTAGATGTTCCAGCCCCTAAAAACTATGAAACTATGTTTGATTTTTAGTATATACTTTGGTTTTTTTCCAGTTCCAAGATGGAAAACCTCCGTCCCAAAGGGAGTACTTCCAGGTGCAAGGGGAGAGACTTCTGGTGGCAAAGGTTAAGGGTGGCACTTCTGGTCCCAAGATGGTGACCAGGAGCTTTCAAATTGCTGTCAAAGGGCTGGACTACCCTTGCACCCCTTGACAGTTCACCAAAACTTGTTAAATTGCCCTCCAGCCAAAATAATTGCCTGCCCTGATCTACACAATCGCACCTCCTGCTATGCCAGATGTGCATGGCAGGAGGCACAATTGTGGGATTGCACATTAGATTGCATTGCGTCTTATTGCTGGTGAAAGGGAACCCAATCACCAGCAATAAGCAAGCTCCTGTGGCTGGGAGCCCCCTTAGTTTCAGGTACCCCCAAGTCATGCAGGATTCATGCACCCCTGAGCCCTGGGAATCACGGCTACTGTGATTCCCCAGGTCGGGGGGTTTTGGATAGGGCATGATGGTGCTTTTCTGCAGCTGGGAGCCCTGTCAGCTGATAGGGCTCCTGGCCGCGGGGGGAGACCCTGCTACATGTGCAAACTGAAACTCAGTAGCAACCAGCTATAAAGTTAGTACACATTTTTTAAGTCTAACTTTATAGCTGGTATTATGAGAAGCTACCTGTGTAAAGTACTTGGTCTTAAAGTAATTGTGCAGTTAATCAGTTAATTGCACAATACCTGTAACATGCAAAGGGGGCCGGTGAAAAGCAAATTTGAATGAAGACAGCATGTTAGAGTTTATATTATGTATTCTATCAAGGTGTAGGACAAAAATCTTAAATGGCTACATCCCCAGTCAGTGTACTTTGGCATAGCTTCACTGACTTCAGTGGCTCTAAGCTGATAGACAGCATTAAAAGATCTGGCACATGTCTAGGGATTAATTATCAGTATAAATTGGGGAACAATATACAATTATAATAAATCATATCAACTGCAAATCAGCACACGTTATTCATTACATAAACACTACAGGATCAAAACTGTAGGTAATGACTTCAGGGCCGTGATTATAGCCTCTCGTCATGTAATGCATATAATCAATGGTGGAATGCTGTATTTTGAGGAGAATGTGCTTTTGAAACCCTGCTAACAATCAACGATCAAGATTATTCCTTGAAGCACGAGGATTATTAATATTCTTTTACTCTTTTTAAGCCAGGCTAGGATCATTGCTATTCTGATTCAATTTGAGGTCCAGTCTTTTCCAAATGAGTCTATTTTGGATCAAGCCACCTATTGTGACTGCAGTGGGCATTGAGCTCTCTGAGGTTTGGTTTTTATCTGTATCTGGACCCCAAAAGACTGCCTATTGCCTAATGATATAGAAATGACTTTCTTGCATATGTACCACTTCTGGCTGCTTTACCGTTCCATTGAGGAAAAGCACAGACCATCCGAAGATGTTTCCTCAGCCTGACTAAGGGTCTTTGTGCCCAAAAGCTTGCTAAGGAGAATTTTTCCAACTATCTGAGTTCGTATAATAAAAGATATTGGATTTACCCAAAGGACCTTGTTTGCCTATTGCCTAATGAATATGTTCCAAGCACAGAAATGTGCCACAATTTATTTTACTGCCAGTAAGCAGCAGAAGGGATGGCTTGGCATAATCACCATACAAAGTGTCACTTTGCTTGGGGACACTTCAGCACCTCTTATGTTATCCATACTGTGGTTATTCTACTGGTATTGTTGCTTCCAAGGGATGCAGAATAGGCTTGTTTTTTCCCCATCTGTTAGGCTGTCCCTCCATGCCAACATGATGCTGCTGGTGACTTTGAAAGTATGAAACCAGACACAATGCTGGAATCCAAAATGTATGCTTTAGAGAATGTATAAAAAACAGGATGAATCCAGAAAACATGCAGAGGACAGTTAAAATAACTAAGGCCTGCTTTAAAGTCCATTCAACTCATTGGATGACTACCATTGATTTCAATGGGTTTGGGATCTGGGCTGCACTTTAGTGCTGTACTTTATTGTTTTTTGGCAGGCTGATCTATCATCACATGACTACCACATGCAGAGACTCACTTTAGGTTCAATACTCCATCTGGGGTCGCAGGTACATTGTACCGTCTCATGTACTCGTGCATCTCTGGGAAGCTTTGCCTGACATAATCTTCTGCACTGCTTTCTCGTACTGTTCCAAAGCGAAATCCCTGGGATGGATGGTGAAGCTAAGAGGAATAAAAAGAGAGACCAGCTGAGTAATTTGTCTTATTCAGCTCATGAATTCTCAGTTTCATGTCTAGTTTTCTGTATTCTAAAGAAAACATAAGGGAATTGTAATAAACCTTAAAGATTTTGCAGACACATTCTTATGTTTTATGTGGTGTCATATTCCCTGTCAAATTCCTGTGAAAAATTGCTACACACCCTATTCAAGACCAGATACTGCCTGATTTAATCCATCACCATGCTCTTGTGACTTGTTTCAGGGATTTGAAGTTCCTCCTGGAGTCAGCAACCCCCACAAAATCCAGGTTTGGTTCAGTTCTTTTATCTTAAGCTCAGCCCAAGTTTGAGGAAAAGGTAATGAATTCCTCCAGCTCATACAATTCAGCTTCACATCTCCTTGCTTAAACCCTCTTTGTACAGTACCTTCCCTCCCCCATCCAACCTAGAAACCACATTCTGAGTGTTCCAGGTGAACGCTACGGTCTGCGTTAGAAAATAAACGTACCCTTCTGCAGAAGGCTGGCTTTGCTGCTGATTTCTGGCAAGGGCACCTTGCCAAAATATCCTGGAGCCAGGATTCTCATGATGATTCTGTGAGAGATGCATCTGGTGGTTTTAGTTCAGATCCTAGAAGACTTATTGTAAACCAGTATAGCAATGGGTGCCCTGTTCTTGGTGTCACCAGAGAGATTAAGGACTATGCGTCTGTGGGAACTGTCCTGTACTCCTGAGAAAACACTAGGAGATGAGACAAATGGGATTGCTCTATGTATTCTGAACATAACTAAGGCTTTGGTCTCCAGGTGGTCCCTTTCAGAAATGCTACAAAACCCCTGCAGCTTTTTTAGTTACGTGCATGTTTGTTTCTATCGCAACTAGATTCATTTCAGCATGATGAAGTTGTCAGGCTCTTGATTGGTTAAGAGGTTCAGGGAGCTGACCTGGGTAAGTTTCTGGTGTACATCATTTGCTCATTGTAGGAAAATGGAAAAGGATCCACTTGGTAACATACTGAGTGTTCAGGTTGCCCCCAGCGATCACTGAAGTCAGAAAGAGATGAGAGCCCTCATCGCCTTGCAGCAGAGCACAGCCCTTTAAAGGACTGAGTCTTTAAGGCAAAGGAAATATACTTTACTGTTAAGGCTCAGAGAATTCTAATATTATAAAAGCCTAAGTCTGTCCGTCTCCCCCAGCTTCCCCACCCTGCTCCCTGAAAGAGGCAGAACAGCGGCAGCAGGTGGCAGCACTCCATCCCAGCCCCCTCCTCCCCTGCCCCCTGTCATTCTTGATGGGCAATTGGCTAGTAGTTTTCTATACATTTCCCCAGCAAGCTCGGATGCAGCATTTCATGCAATACACAGAGCCATGTTAGTTTGAAGTTGGGCAGAAGTCAGGCAGTGTGGCACCTTGTAGACTAACTCTATATAGATGTCTTCCTTTCCTCTTTTCCTCTCTCTGATTTGTTTCATTTACTGACAAATGTTTCATGCTTGTCCCAGAGGAGGGAGCACGAACTTTTGCAGTTTCACATTTAGTTTTTAACTTCAATATAATAAAGGTTTAAAGATTAAAAAAAAAGTCTCTGTCCCCCCGTATATATATGTACACACATTCACATATATATGAATGTGTGCACGTGTGTGTGTGAATAGAATATAGATGTATATGTATAATGTAGATTGGATGCCCCCCAACATTACTAAACATGATGTGCTGCTTCCCTGGAAACATGCAAGCCTCAGTTCAGTTTGATGGATCAATCTCTGACATGTTTGAGGTGAAGAGTGGAATGAAGCAGGGTTGTGTTCTGGCCCCCACACCCTTTGGGATCTTCTTTTCTCTGCTGCTGCACTATGCTTTTGATGGCCTGGGGGAAGGTATAAACTTTCACACAAGATCAGATGGCAAACTCCACAATTTATCACATCTAAAGGCCAAGATACAAGTGAGGCACATGCTTATTAGGAAGCTCCTTTTTGCTGACCATGCTTCATTCACCACCTATGAAGAAGGCCAACTACAGATACGTATGAATCACATCTCTCATGCTAGCAGGATGTTTGCCTTGACTATCAGCATCAAGAAGACTGTGGTCCTAAGATAGGGTGTTTGCCAGTCACCATTTATCAGCCTTGATAGCACACCTCTCAAGGCAGTGAATGAGTTCTGCTACCTTGGATGAAGAGCTAAATATGCACATTGGAAAGGCAACTACTATTTTCAGTAAGCTCTCCAAATGTGGCTGGAACAATACAAAACTCACAATCAAAAGTAAGTTGCTTGTGTACAAAGCCTGTGTCCTCAGTGTCCTTATATACAGCAGTGAGACATGGTCATACTTTTCATAGATTTAACAGACATTAGGGCTGGAAGGGATCTTGTGAGACCATTGGGTCCAGTCCCCTACCCAAGGGGCAGGGAGTCAGCTGGGATCAGGACCATCCCTAAGGGAGGTTGAATCGGGGCAATGGTACAGACCCCACCGTGGCTGCCATGCACCACCACTGCTGAGCGCCACTGGCTCTGCCATCACTGAATGCTACCATCCCGTGCCCTATCCCCACTGCTCTGCCGGCTCTGGCCGCTCACCCCCTGCCTCCACTCTGCCAACTTTGGCTGCTCACCACCCCCTCCACCCCTGCTCTGCCAGCTCTGGCTGTTCGCCACCCCTGCCCCACCTCCCCAGGATCTGCGCAGGCTGATTTGCCCCAGGCCCTGCATACCCCTAGAGATGGCTCTGGCTGGGGTCAAATGATGCAAGCAAGATAGGCATCCAAATGTTTCTTGAAAGTGTCCAGAGTAGGTGCTTGCACCACCTCTGTGGGGAGTCTATTCCAGGCCCTGGGGACTTGAACAGTAAAGAAGTATTTCCTTATGTCCTGCCTAAAATGGTCTTCCAGGAGTTTGTGACTGTTGGACCTTGTTATCCCTTGGGGTGCCCTGGTGAAAAGATGTTCTCCCATTCCTGATGCATACTCCTTATAGGCTGCCACCAAGTCACCCCTGAGCCTACACTTTTCCAGGCTGAAGTGTCCCATGGCTCTTAGCCTCTCTTCATAAGGCTTACTCCCTTGTCCTCTAATCATGTGCATGGCTCTCCTCTGGACCCTCTCAAGCTTCTCCACATTCTTTCTGAATTGCAGAGCCCAGAATTGGATGCAGTATTCCAGCTGCGGCCTCACCAAGGCCGAGTAAAATGGGAGGATGCCTTCCTGGGTCTTGCTTGAGATGCATTGGTAGATGCAAGCCATAGTTTTGTTTGCTTTGCCATCTGCGGCATCATATTGGTAGCTCATGTTAGCTTGTAATCAGTCATGACCCGCAAGTCTCTTTCAGTCATGGTGCTAACAAGTGTAGCACTGCTGAACCTATAAGTGTGATGTGGGTTTTTTCTCCCAAGGTGAAAAAAAATGCACACCTTGAATTTCTCTGTTGAATGCCATCAGGTTTTGATCTGCTCACCTTGTAAGCCTGTTGAGGTCAGCCTAGATCCCTAGCCTACCCTCTAGGGTGATCACACTTCCCCCTAGTTTGGTGTCATCAACAAACTTAGCCATTCCTCTTCTGACGCCAGAGTCCAGATCACTATAAATACATTGAAGAGTACAGGTCTGAGAACGGAGCTCTGGGGGACACCACTGGTCAACATGCATATCAAGAAAAGAGGCTGAACAGCTTCCACCTACACTGGAATGTGTATGGCATGTCCTTGACATCAAGTGGCAAGACAGAATCACCAGCACAGAAGTCATCACCAAAGCCAACCTGCCAACCATCACTGCACTACTTAAACAGTTGCACCTATGCTGGCTTGGTCATCTTTGCAGGATGGAAGATTGGTGCATCCCAAAGGCCATTCTACGTGGGCAAATTAAAGATGGGGAGAGGAGAGTAGGGTGCCTGAAACTGTGCTTCAAAGACATCTGCAAGCAGGATATGAAGGCTTTTGGAATTGACCCAAACCTTTGGGAGGTCTTAGCAGGAGACAGGACAAAGTGGTGTTCCCTGCTCAATCATGGAGTCCAACATCACAATGAGAAATGGTCACTCAAATTACAACAGAAACATGACCAAAGGAAACAGCCTGTCAGTACAGTAGCCTTTAATGCCATGTATACCTGTAACCACTGGCAGGACCTGCAAGTCTAACACTGGTCTTTCCAGCCACAAGAGAAAATGCACCAACAGTCAGTAGAATAGTTGCAATATCCACCATCACTCACTGATGAATGGATGCCGTGTGTGTGTGTGTACACACATGTATGCATGCATGTGCACACATTTTACGTATATGAGAGAGAGAGAGATGCCCCTCTGAATGAGTTAGTCTGTAAGGTGCCACAGTTGCCAAATAATACACAAGAATGTTCAGGGCAGCTAAATATTCTAAATAACACTTGGAGATGATGCAGAAAACTCAGGTGTACAAATGTTTTATTCTGGCTATCCATCTGTGCTAGAGAAAAGAAACTGGAGTCTAGAGGAAAAGGATAATCTTGCATTAGGGTAGATATTCCAATATGGTGATGGTGAGCACTGTATAAGAACCCATGTACCACAGAATAGTGAAAAGTAGTGATGAACTAGATAGTCCAAGTAGTGATAGTCTGTTTCAGTGGTCATGTGGAAAGAATTACCATATTTACTTGAATATAAGAGAAGATTTTTTTCCCCTATTCATCACTGGGGAGAAAAGCCCCTCAACTTACATTCACACAGAAGGAAACTTTATTAAATACATTGTCTATCTTTGAACTTCTGCTAAAAATAGCATGTACTCAGTAATGGAAACCAACTGTGAAGCTGACTAAATGCAGCCAACACTGAGTATGGCTATAAAATATATGGCCTATACTGAGCAAACATGCTGATGGGAACCTTAAATGTCTGGCAAACTTTGCCAAACAGGGCCCCAAATAGTTAATCCAGAAGCCCTCTGTCATCCCACCCCACCTCTCTCTAAGTCTGTCACATATGGTTCTGCCCTCCATGAGGTGAA